TCTGATTGTTCCCCACAACTGGGGAAACAGATTTACAAAAACCCCACAACTGTCCCAAGGTTATAGTGAGGACTCCTTCAGAGCTCAATGGAAGGAGATAGAAGTTCAATCACGTGTGCTGACCAACAACCGATAGGGACATAAAACACCCAAGGACAACATGATAATTTACAGGAGGGCTGTGCAAACATTTTGAAGTGGGGTTGATATGCTGACATTTCAGTAGTAGAGAACTTGAGCTGCAGCATAAGCAACATCCTTTTCTCATCAGGAAGAAAGATGAAAAATGCATGCTAGTTAATCATGCTCTCCCCTTGCTGTTGTAAGGCACCGGGCTGTTGGGAAACCTTTGCAGTACTAAAGGTGCGGCATAGGAACAGAAGTCATGTGGAAAGAGGCACGAGAGGAAACACAGAGGTTGCAAGCTCAGCGGCTACAGTGAAGTGTCCAAGGAAGGGGAGAGATGTGGGGGGCATTATCAAGTCAGAAACAGCTAACCTCCAAGCTCTTTCCTTGTTTCATTCATTCATGGTTTGGGATACCCCATATTTCATCACTCCATACAGAGTTTTCACTCAAGGACTTCAATTATGCTTCAGAGGGCCTCCACAGAAAGAGGCAAAGTATTAAACCTGTTATACAGATGAGGAAATGGAAGCAGGAAGCCAGAGGTGACTTGTACTCTGTTAAGAAGTGCTGACATTTATGTCCTCATCTCAGTGACAACGCAATTGTATGGACTTTCCAATCGATAGCTGGATTATTCCTGGTAAGCGAAACCAAGGGAAGAAGAGTGGTCAAGAGCAGAAAGGCCAGATACATATGGCACAAGATCATCAGTTTGCAAGCTAGGCATTGCGTTGCAGGCATCCCAACTGGGCTTGCTGACAAACTAAAAGAAAAAACTCAACCCACACCAGACGGCTGGACTTTACCCTTACAGAAAGAACAAGAAAAACGGAAACAGATCACGTTAACGGGGAGCTACCTTGCACAACCCGTATTTGACTGAAAAAAAAATATGAGGGATTCCTTTTTCTTAGGCTACATCTGCTCTTAACTTAGATCTAATTTGGAATTCAGCAGGGGGGAAGAAGGGGCAGGAATCATCTGCACCCTCTCCACATACAGCCTTCAAGGGGCCCAACAAGGAGCTTGCTTCTTGTGACTAATTACAAGGCCCAAGGAGAACACGGTACATGTCTCTGAAGCAGCTTCTTAAGCTGAATGCACCCAAAGCAGGAAAAACAGAATAGTTGCTGAAACACCTGCACGACAGGGACTATCATAAACCCTGTGACCCACCTACCTTCTCCCTTCCGATCACGTAAAGGCAACTGCAGCAATTTTATTTTACATATGAAAAGATACTTCTACGAACATATTTTAGCTTCCTTTAATGTGTTTTAGCAGCTGGAATTGGACAGTACCATGCAAGCAGCCTGCTCTCTGAAGGTCTCCAAATGTACTGACCAGGATTTAGGTACTGCTGGAGCAGGGGATTATCTCTTCCCCTGGAGCCCTGCAGCTACTCCCAAATATCCAAGGCAATGAGTCTCTCCAAGGGAAAGTACAAATGGAAGATCTGTGCTGTAAGCATATGCCCAATGGCACAGCCAACTGATTCCTGGACTTGCTATCACCCACCTTGCAAAGTAGTGAGTTTCTTTGATAAATGAAAGAACAGAGGCGAGACAAAACTTTTATAGGCAAAGGCTTTGCTTTCTGGATTTTACAATTTCCTTTCTAAAAACCACCTATATTTGGATTTGTCCTCCTAGTTAGAGAAAGAGAGCTATTTTTAAGTCTGCCAGATCCTCCACTGAATAACAAACTGCATCCTTAATAATGTGCAATCATTTCTTAAATTTAGGTTCTGTACATATTTTCCATTTTACCCTAAAATAGAAAACAAGTGCAAACTCTAAATTCAGGTTCTTTTTAACAGTGAAAATAGCTATTTTATCTGTATGCAGGTTAGAGACTGAATTCACAACCTTCATTTACTGCTTGTTGCTTTAAAGCTGTGGACTGGAACAACCTAGCTCTGGTCTGATGCAGGCTGGGTACCTTCCACAGCACATTTTGGGGGGGGGGGGGGGCTCCCTTCCACAGCACATTTTGGGGGGGGGGGACGGACGGGACACTGGACACGACAGGGTAAAGGAAACAGGGGTGGTCCCTGCACCCGCACTGGGGCCAGGCAGCTAGGAGCTCCACCATGACATTTCTCCCAGTCCCCTACTTCCCAGCTAGGGCACGGACACAGGTCCCAGCCAGTGGGGAGCTGTGCTGGGGCTAGGCAGCTAGAAACCGTCCCTGCTGCTGCTATTTCTGCACTGTAGCTGGGAGCCCTGGGGAAAGGGGTAGGGGGAAGCCAGGGGCTGTGCAGGCTGGATCTAGCCTGTTGGCCCTATGTTGCCAACCCTTTCTTTAGAGCAGGAGTTTTCAACATTTTTTGGGTCAGTGTACCCTTGGCGGCTGGTCAAGAAAGCAGGAGTGCCCTGGCGGCCAGATGAGCGCGGGGGGCGGGCACGGCAGCATGGGTGGAGTAAGCTGGTCAAGAAAGCAGGAGTGCCCTGGCAGCCAGATGAGCCCGGGGGGCGGGCACGGCAGCATGGGTGGAGTACCCCCCCGCCCCGCAGTTGATCGGTGAGCATGCCGATGGCACGGTGTCGGCAGAAGTGCTGGCAGCACGGCGGGAGAAGTACCGGCAGCAGCACTCACTGCCTAGTACCCCGAGGCCATCCCAAGTACCCCCAGGGGTACGCATACCCCCAGTTAAAAACTCCTGCTTTACAGTGTAAAAGAACTTCTTTCCATATGTAACTATTGACTGAAGCATTGAATTAAATTATGTGGCTTTTTCCTGAGTTAAAATGCTAAATGTTGTGCTATCTTATTTTGGCATGTCATTTTAAATAAAGAATACCCTTCCCCCCCAACCCCCACTGCACTTCAGACAATGTTTTTATTATTCTTACTTGCCTACAGTAATAATTTTTTATCTAATGTGTGGTGGGTTCATAAAGATCAACATGATCAAAAGACTAGAACTGATTTGGAAGTTTCCTCCTTACTCTTGGTGAATATGGTCACTCAGAAACAACAGGGTGTTAATACTGACCAAGTAATTATGTTCTCTATTGCAGACGAGGTTCTTTGGGTAAATGTGATATCTTTTATTAGACTAACAAAACAGCTGGAAAAAACTGTTCCTTGCAAGCTTTTGGGTACAAACACCCTTCTTTAGGCCCAGGGAAAGTTTGTTGTTTCTTCGTGCGCTCTCCTGGGTAGAATGGAAGCCCCTATGCAAAAGACAGGTATGTGGAAATGCAAATACGTGTCAATGAGGATCAGAGGCTCTATTTAGCTGGTCTAATAAAAGATATCGCATTTACCCAAAGAACCTCATCTGCCTACGTCCTTAGACCAACACGGCTACAACCAACAACCTTAAAGCACGGAAGATATGTTCTCTATTACAACACTTGACCTAAGATCCCATAATTATGCATGTGGAACATGGTTATTGTTCTTCTTCTTTTCTTTTTGCATGGAGAGATGAAAGTCTCTCCCTCCTATAAGCACTTTGTAATGTTATGACTACTTATTCTAGGGTCTTATACTGTTTGGTTGACATTACTTCTGGTTCTCTTGGTAAGGAGTCTCATGCACTTTTACATCAGGATGTTATGGTTGCTTGAGAGAAAGGACAGGCAGTTTCAATCTAAACCTTCCCCCTGGTTTTGTGCAGGCAATACACAGCTAGGTAAAGAAAAGCTTCACGGAAAGTTGTATGACAAAGGTGAAGTTTTGCCAACATGGCAATCATAGCAACATAATGTAGTTATAAAAAAAAAAACTAGCTTCAGTGCTGTTCACAGGCTGTGTGGCAAAGTTCAATGAAGGAAAAAAGGTCTTCTAGCAAGAAACAGGGTGACAGAAGCTTGACTTGTGATCCTATACCAGGCATTTACTTTTCTCTATTTAATTAGCTACTTTCAGGCCCATGTACCTTCTTTTATGTAGATTTGGTTTCTAAAAGCGTCTAAGTGTTCAACTGTTCAATGTGCCACACCAAAATCCATGTGACAACCCTCACTTGATATCAAATTAGCACAAGGATATCCAAAGCACATTACACACAGATATGGACAAGTACCTGTTATACAAAATACTTTGGGGATGGATAGTCTGGATAAAGCTATATAGCCAAATAGACTTTTTTTTTTTTTTTTTTTACCATTTCACTTATAAAAAATTAACTTTTCAGGTTCCATCTTCAGGAATTAACAATATCAGTAAATATTGGCCAATTCTTCAGCACCTAAATCAAGAACATTTGCTACATATACAAACAAGACATACTGTTTTGTTGCAACTACAGGGTGTAAGGCAGGACAGCAGACGAGGATTTTAAAGAATCTGCTTGAATGGGATAGTTTTATGTTTACCACAGGCTTTTGATTGCTAACATAGATACAGCATTTCTATTTTACAGCTAAATTTGTCTTTAATCCTGGCAGTCGCACATAAGTAATATAGTCTAAATGATCTTTTTTCAGCCTGCTAAACCAGACCACAATGCAGTTTCCACTCCTCCCCCATGACTGTTTTATAACATTCCCAATTCAACAGAACGCTAAGGTTACAAAACATGATACAGGTCCCCCAAAACTATTCTCTGAAAGAAAGTAAAAAGAAGTCTCCTTGGAATACCAGCAGAAATCTCTCTCCTTCCCACCTGCCCTGGCTGAAAGTGTAGCCCAAACACCATTTCCTCCAGCAAACACGGAAAGTTCCTCTAACGCAGAAAATTCATGTTAAATTTGCCCATAATAACTGGCGCATGCCAGAACAGACGTAACCACAGGGAACTTAAAAGTTTTTCCTCTATCCTGTGTATTCTCAGAAATGATACACTACATACATTGTTTCAGAAGGGCTTCTCCTAATGGGGGGGGAAAAAAAAAAAAGCCTCTGAGCCAAAGGCTTACCTTTAGACTGGTGTGAGACCGCGGATGACTCAGCTCGTGGAATTTCCAATGCTCTGACCCAGGTGTTTCTCCTGCTTCTCTCTGAGCCTCAGGCGTGAGCAGCGCTTCTCCTGGAGGTAATGGGAAGATGCCCAGCGATATAGGGCGCTCTTTTCTGTTTGAAAACCAAACCATTTTTTTTTAATTAGCTTTGATTTCCTATTATACCTGTATTATACCTGGAATAAGGAAGACACGAATTTGAATAAAAAAACGCATACTATATTTTCCATTAAAGAATATACATGCAAGCATATGCAATTTTCACTATTTTATACCGCAGTATTTCAGATCACTCATGCATTTCAATTAACTATGAAAAAATTGACTTTTATAAAAAAGCAGGTTTAAAAAAAAAAAAGCTATGCTAAATAACTGTTCCACTCAAACATTTTTTTATTTACTAGACCATGAACATTTGACAAATTTGTTTCTCCTTAAATCATATGAAACACCAGCACTACAAGTCTCATTCATAAGCCATCTGTGTGAGCTCAGCCTGCCATAAATAATCACAATTTCTATAACAAAGATCTACTTAATTTTGATGAACCTATGGCTTTCCCATTCACTTCAAAACAAAGAATGATTACCGTCACATCTAATCCGGTCTTACTTATGCAAAAACAGCTTTTGCGATTTAAGCTTACAAACTGTTTTGTATAGTACTTTTCATGCCAACCATTCTCCTAGTTAGTAAGAACAAAGCTATGATCAAGGAATTTTCTATTTTGATGTGCGTAGATAACCATGATTCCAGAGTAGGTTGGAGAAAACTTGAAACTTGAAGTGTGAATTTAAATGATATACAGTACGCAGATACAGATGACAGGCACTACAGAGAAAGTTTCTGCACTGAGACTATTGATGCGTTGAAAAAGCAGGTAGCAGGCCAGTAGGGAAGCATTTGGGAGAAAGAGGAAGTGCTCTGTCAGATCAGCTGGAACAAGTTCAAGGTTGGCTTTGGGGAAGAAATTTAAAAAAAACCAAAACAAAAAACCAAAGAAACCTGAGTTGAGTTCCTTAAACAAGGGAATGGAGAACGGTGAAGTTCTATTTCTTTGGACACACAGAAAGGAAACATTGCCTCGAGGTGCCTAATGGTGTTTGAGAGCTCAGAAGTCTTTATTGATTGGGGGCTGCAACGTGCAAGCTAAGAAATCGAAAGGCATGGGATACACATGTCAAGAGGAGGTAAGATGTATAACGAAGTTGGAGAGGAAACTGGAGGCAAGCTGGGAAATAGCATGAGAGAACAGCAAAGCTACAGAGAAGGAAGGGAGAGTGCTTGAGGCAAATAGTCTTGCCCAATAACAGAGCCAGCTTTTGGGGACAAAGCACCTTCCCACACCACCAATCCACACCACCAATCCCACTACAGCCTCTCCACACCACCAATCCAAGACAAAGACTACGGCTGTGCGAAGCTTTAGTCCCCAATTCGATTCGGCCCAATTCGGCGGCCGAATCTCTGAATCAAATCAGAGGACCCTTTAAATCTCTCCAAATCGAATCGGAGCCCTCAAAATCCATTTGGACGCAGACACAGCTTTAAATGTTTTTTTCTACATAGCTCTAGGTAGCAGGCGGCTCGTGAATGCTGCAATGCTACGGCGCATGGAGAGTCCCACAGGAGCACAGGGGGCTCCCCAGTGCACTCAGCAGCAGACCCAAAAGTGGACCAGAAGCACTTCCAGTCCACCAGGGAGCATATGCCCCCCCCCTCCCCCCCGGCTTGGCAACTGGTGCCTCCTGGGTGTGGGGGGCACCCAGGGTCCTCCTGCGGCCGACTGCTACGCGGGGGGCCAAGCACGCTCCCTGGCAGACCCAGAAGTGGACCAGAAGTACTTCCAGTTCACTGCCGAGCACATGGAGCCCCCCCCGGCGACACACTCCACGTGCCCCAGCATTGCAGCGATCACAAGCAGCACTAGTACCTCAAGGTACGTAGAAAAAACATTTAAAGCCGCGTCCATGTCCGAATTACTGATTCTCCAAATCAGCATTCAATCTTCACATTCGGCCGAATTGAAATCAGGGACAGTGATCCGAAATCAAATCACTGTCCCCGATTTGGGCCGATTCCAAATCGAATGTGGCCCGCTTTGCACACCCCTAACAAAGACCCTTCATAACAGCATGGATTGGCTAATATGCAAACTTCAGGCACAGAAAAGCCAGCAAAAGTAACTTAAATTTCATTAGAGAACAAGCAGAAGCAAACAGATTGGGAGAAGGGCTCCCAACTATCTCAAAACACTGGGTATACCTGGAGAACAATCCCTTGTAATATTTTTGAGGTGTTGGCTGTTAGGCATGGTAGTGAACACAAACACGCACGCTCAGTATAGAAAACTGATAAAAGCCAACACATCTGGATGAACTCAGAGCACCATACTGTTGATCTTCCTAAAATCCCAAGGCTAGTTCCATGCCCAGTAAGGAGATCACAATGAACAAAATAGATGTTTGGGCTGAGACAGAAAAATGTTGTTCAGAACAATCTGCAGAATGGCAAAGCCAGATCTGTGAAAGAAAAGCATCAAACAGACTGCAAAACACTTGATCAGGCATGGAGCAAAGGAAGCAGGGCAGATGCAGATACATGGACAGATATGCACTGCTGCTGAAAGTAAAACTAATTATAACCAAAAGAAAGAAGGGTAGAGAAAGTGAACAACTGTGCTATTAAGAAATAGCATCCTGAGATGCTACCGCATCCTGAGAAAGCCTGGAAACAAAACTTAAGGACTGTTTTCACAGTGATAAATGAGATGCAACTTTATATTACCTCTTTGTGAAACCACTTTGACCCACCTAAGCTAGCCAGAACTACAAAGGCTGCTACCAAGACCTCTGTTTAAAACTAAATGAAGCCTATACAAAGCCATATGCTTCCTATGCACGAGCAAAGAAAAGTTGTGACTGCAGACGAACTATATGCTACACAGACCAGATGGAGCAGAGGTTTCAAAGGCGATGTAAGTGTAGTAAGTTTGATTTGTGCAGAAGTAAAGATAGTTGAGAAGCGCTTGCTCTTAGGGCTGGAGGCACAACTCCTTTAGAGAATGTTTACCATGCCATTCCTATGAGTTTTCAGAGATTAAACGGGAACAGCTAATTGATGTAAACTTTTTTTAGCACTGATGTATGAAGGATCAAGCAGCAGGAAATAAAATCTGCGTAACTAAGTATGCTGTAAAAAATAAGAAAGATTTTGTACCAGGAAACTAGTGCACATAGGAGATCTTAGGCTTTTTACTACAGAAACTGGTAAAAGTGGCCAAATAGCAGTCTCTTTAATACAGTTAAGCAGATAACATGAAGCAAATAGAAACAAAAGAGGTCAAAGCCATAAAAAGTCAGTAGTGCTGGAGGGCTTGCGTATGTTGGAACGCCTGGAACTTAATCAGAAAAGCCTTACTAAAATAGTTACAAAACTAAGCACTAGTTTTTCCTACAAGGGATTCACTGAAGTCAGTAATTACTTTTTATCTAAAGGTCCCATAATCCTGGGACCTCTAGATGCACATGCACTGGGTGCATGTACGTTTTCAGCTTTCAATTCAACAGATTTTTAAAACAAAGAAATCCAGTACCAGAAATCAAGCTGAATCCATTCAGTTAGAAAGGGAAGGGCAAGTGGGCTCAGCATGTTTCTTGAGGGGTATCCTAGAATTGACCCAGATTTATTTCTAGGTTATGCTGCAAAGCATCCCTCCTATGCAGCCTTGAGGAGGCTTGTTCATACATGGGAAAAAGATTCTTCACTTCCATGAAAAATATTAGACTCACTTTTTTTTTTTTTTTTTTTTTTTTTTTTAAGGGGAAAAAAAATGTTTTAAACTGGATGGTCATTTAAAAAAAGTTTCAAGTCATCTAGGGTAAATATACAATTTGTATGCAGGACACTGAAGAAACAACCCCATGCATAAAACGGGGGGGAAAAAAAATCAATTTGTAAGGTGGCCTAGATTTCCCCACATTTATATGCAACTCCATGAACATGTCTACTTGTATTGAAAAAGCAGAAATTCTTTCCCACTCAAAAGTGTAGTCACTTATTTCTTTCAATACAGGATGGTAAAGCAGATGCTTTTTTTCAGTATTCAAGAAATACTCAACTATACGCATTATGCTTAATTAAAACAGGACAGTTTCTCCAAGCCACAGATCAAAGATATCAGGTTAAACAGATGCTTTTAACAGTAACCCACTGAAACTACATCAACAGTATTTTTGTAACCAAATACTCTGTGCTAGATCCTTTTGATTGTGAATAGTCGAGTCAATTTAACATTACTGAGAATCAGATAAGGCATTTATCATTTGAATTTCTTTGTCCTATTTTTTTTTTATAGTACACCCGCTAAGAAAGAGTAAAAGCCCTTAAAAAGACTGCCTTATTAACATATGAATAATCCCAGCTCCTAAAAGTTTACCAGAAAACACTACTGAAAAGGCAGCATAATCCCTACGAAAGACTAAATAATCATCTGACAAGGAAAGGCATGCTACAAAAAGATTATTTCTTTATCAAGCTGATAGCATTCATGTTAAACATTAAAAGAGCTGAGACTAACTTGAAGAAGCTGAATATTTTGCTTTTGTTTTAACATATAAGCCCTTACTAATTGATTATTCTACACTTGTGTATTACTGGGCAAATTAATTGAAATGCCACAAGCCTAACAAATACTTCTTAAAAGTTCAGCCATTCAGTGCCTTTGCACATTTGTCACAGCATGCCTACCATAAGAGAGAGAGAAAAAAAAAAGAACCCCAAAAGCTTAACTGTGGGCTAAAACACAGGCCACGGTATATTAAAGAAAGGTTTTTTGGGTTTTTTTTTTTTTTTTTGGGGGGGGGGGGGGGGGGGGGGTTTTTCAACTGCTGAGCAAATTTTCTGGTCATTATATTTTTATTAAAGAAAATAACTAAAAATCAGGATTGCAAATAAAAGTAATTAAAATAATGTCAAATCCATGAATTTGAAAAGGCACATTTAAAAAGGTGGAGAACTGCATTTCATTTCTAGCCAGAATGGGCGTCAAAAATATTTTTTGTATTGATATTCTAATGCAGAGATCTGCTACTACTCCATGCAACTAGGACAAACAGAACATAACTTGAGGGAGAAAAAGAGAGTTGGCTGCTTGCCATACAAGTACAGAGAAAGAGGAGAAGATAACATTCGATTAAACAATAGTGAATAGGCTTTTACAGCTCTAATACCCAAATAATGAAGGATTTTTCCTTCAAAATATTTTTTAAATGGTTAGCCAGTCTTGTTTTTAAAAGAGAAATGTAAAAATAACCTAGTTGAAAATTATGCATTTGAACAGAGCATCCATTAACAAATGCTGGATAATTCCCTTGAATAAAAGAAAAATAAATAAGCCTGGCAAATGAAAGGCCTGAGCCACCATAAATTTAAGGCTACACACTATTAGCCAAATACCAGACAATACAGTGGATGTGAGCTTTGTCCACAAGGTTTAAGGGAGCATCTCTATTCTGTTTGCAAGTTAACATAAAAGGACTGACTAACAGCTTTGTAAAAACGAACGCCCCCCCCACACACACTGACCTTGCCCTGGCTAAATAAATGCAATGAGAAGTGCCTTTGAATATTTAAAATAATGTTATTATGCCATAGCTAACAACTACGAAGTTTACAGAAGGATACAAAAATCAACACTGAGCATGTGTCCCATTGTTTCAGAGAAAAAAAGAGCAAGAATGAGGGAGCTAAGAGCAAGGAATCCAGTAGGCAGCGGTTCGGTAGGTCCGAGTACCTGAGAATCCTTGAGAGGTTCTGCGTCAGAGCTGGCACACCGGTAGAAATGGAAAAGTGCACAAGCAGCAAGACAGAGAGAGACACCAAGATAGCCGAGTTAATGACCACCGCCCCGCCAACGAAGCCAAACACAAATAGCAGCATGCATCCAGGACTCATGGCGCTGCGCTGGCATGGTGAAACGCCGGAACCAGGAAGGCTACAAAGGGGACGAGGGTGTATCTTTGTAGTGAAAGTCTGTCATTCAGCTGCTGCCACAAAAACAATGCCATCAGCAGCAGCTTTCCACTCTCTTCTGCAGCGGCTCCAAAGCAATGACATCACCTCACTCCTCCCCCACCAGAGCTGCTGCTCTTCTCAGCATCTATGCAGCAGCAGGGAGATACAGCCAGCTTCTTAGCTATTCTCCCCCCTCCTTTCAGCCCCAGAGATCACTGGCTGGAAAGCTCCGAGATCTACATAATATATTCACATCAAGCTCACTAAATAGGCAAGAGATGCACCATCCTCAACCTGTGTAGGAAGCAGCAGCCACAGCATGGTTTAAGCATCGCAAACCCTCCGGGAGCTATTTTTACTGCCTGCATGTTGTTTTAAAAACCATCGTTACAGCTAAAACGGGTAAATTTGTAAGCCAAAATGATTGCCGAAGACTAATGCACTGATATATCTATCGCAACAATAGCAAAAGCCTTTTTCCACCGATTTCTACTCTATTCTCCTACTGCATTCCAATCATACAACAGATCTTTCTGATTCAGCCGAACTGTTGTTGTAGGATTAAAGAACAGACAAAGTCTTGCAACAGCAAATGAATAGGGTTGGGGTTTTTTTGGTTTTTTTTTTCCAGGGTGAGAGCATAATAAAGCTTACCTAATTCTACTGTGTGGGGTGGATTCTAGCTGATCGCCCCCTGTTAGCTGATGGAGTTTGGTTCTTTCCAAGTGTTCCATATAATTGTGTATCATCTGTTTGAAACAATAAGAAATAATATAAAAAATATTCAGTACCACTTGCATGGTATTGTTATAGCATACTTCACAGCTGGTATTTTGATATCATTTGATAAATCTCCTGCTAAACATCTATAAAGATACCAGAAGCATAATCAGTTATGATTTAAGCTTAAAATACCATCATTTCTTTGCTGCTTTGGTATTTTTAAAGAAAGGTCGGTTCAAATATCTAGCATAAGTCTACATCTTAAACAAAACTTCTTCCAATTGTTTGTCCAGGATATAAAAGCCAGTTTCATTTTAATTCCCCGGACACACTCCTATATCCATGCATAGGAAACGTATGAACAGGGCATGTCTGACATAATTCGACAACTATTTGTTCATATGTAAAAATAACCAAATCCCAAGGACTGTACCCAACAGAAGTTTAAATATACCAAAATTATGAAGTAAAACAAAAGATGATGACATGGAGAGATGTTGCTGTTTCTTCAAAAGATTGGGATCTTCACAGTTGCTAAATATAACACACACTCACCACCTTTATAATGCCAGCTAGTAACAGTGAATAGCAAAAAGGTTGCTAGAATTTACTAATAAACAATGATGCTTGAAATGATAGTACCTTTAAAATAAATAAGATTTTTTTTAAAAAGAATATATTAAGAAACTAATTTAGTTGGTGCATTAAGGAAATGGTGTTTGGAAGTTGGCAGGGGAAGAGGTGTAATGCATTTTGTAGGTGTTTCTTAGATTTCATGTTTTCTGCTTAGGCAATTCCTAGTGACTTAGTGGTGAAAATTCCCATTCGAAACAATTTTTAAAACAGCGGAGATTAAATGAACAGATAATGACCGATTTGAGTAAACTTCAGTATTATCCTCTTGGAAAAAAAGCAATACACCAAAACCAAATTAAGGATTTTAAATGCATATTGCCTTGTTTTGGGGTATTGTTTTTTTTTGTTGTTGTTGCCAGCTTTTTTGTTGCCTTGCATAACCAGGCATTTGTGTCATTACATTATTTATGTATCTAGCAAACACCATGAGAGGTATATCAACACCATAATATGGTCAGTTGTAGGTATCTGATGTTTTACATTAAGTGAGGATGTTGTAAAACTGAAAATATAAGGTGTTCTTACTAACAGTAGCAATGAACAGAAATAACAGCCTCTAAAGAATAAGCCAAGCAACTTTGACTACAGATGAACTAATTTACCCATTTTATTGCCCAAGCATTCTCTGCAAAAATATGTAGCTGCATTTTTTAGTGGTTTTCTATACTGTAAAGAACAAAAAACAACAACTACCAACCCATTAACAGGAACCTGTCTGAGGTTAAATTAAATTGTAACTGCCACATCTGGGTTATCCTTTGTCAGGATTTTAATCTAAAAATAAATTAACACAATACCGGTTGCTTGCTGCCCTGAATAATACCCATCAGGGATATATGCTGACAAGGGTTTAAAAGTACCTAGTCAATCCCTTCCTCTGTTAAAAGTTCCTTGTAACGTATACCCAGATTTTCCCTCTTATTTCACAGGAAAAGGATAAGCTAAGCTATCTATAAAAATGAGGAAAAGATCGTTTTTGAGACAGATTTCAGTTTTGTGCTCGAACGGTTAAAAAAAAATGTAAATGTTCCTTTCAGTTTAAGGCATGCTCTTCAGGCTGGTAGTCTGCAGTTACTTAAGACCAATCTTCAATAGCACGTGTGATGTGGTACCTAGACACAACAGTTTTCTATCAATCCAATCAGCAGCATGAAGACATAAAGCAGAGATTACGGAAGTAATGTCCATCAGTTTTACGAAATGGCTCTAATGATAATGGTTGTAAAAAAACCCCCAAAAGGCTGCAGGCATTTTACTACTGAAATAGGTTAAGTGTTAATCCTTAACTATTTCTTTACTGTCGAAGCTCCCAAGGTTTGGAATAGACTGCCACCGGAGGCAGTTCAAGCACCCACTTTGAACGCCTTCAAGACACATTTGGATGCTTATCTTGCTGGGATCCTATGACCCCAGATGACTTCCTGCCCCGGGGCAGGGGGCTGGACTCGATGATCCTTCGAGGTCCCTTCCAGCCCGAATGTTTATGAAATCTATGAAGTCTATGAAATCTATTTTAAAATACCAAGAAACTGTACACGCATTAAGCCAGCGGTGGGCCCGATAGGGCCCAGAGGCGGGCACCCACTGATTAACCGCATCGCACCCAGCTCCTGCCCCAGCTGCACTCGCACAAGGCCCAAGCCCAGTTCACTCCTGCCAGGGCAGTGCGCTGTGCACCCACTCTTGTGCAGGGGAAACCCCAGCCCCAGCCAGCGCACAGCTTCTGAGCGGGGCCAATGCTGCCACTGCCAGGGGAATTGCTCAGCTCCTCGCGTCCCTGCTGCAACGCTCCAGGCACCAGGTAGAGACGTGCTCCCCACAATGCAAATGCAGCTCCCGGACTCATCCACCACTGGTGGTGGGGGTGTGGTGGGGGAAGCCCTGCGTGATGGATGCCACAGCCTTTGCTGCTCCGTGCCACCATGTGCAGCTCCTGGGACTCCGCTGGAAATGGCAGGGAGCCCTGCACAATGGAGCCAGGTCAGGCTACCCCCGCCCAACCACACCCCACACAATATACAAGATTAAGACTTTATTTTTGATTAGCTCTATATACTCTATGCTACATGGCCAGAATAAAGTCCAACCCACAGGTCAGCAGTGGACTCCATTTCCCAGCAGCTCTTGCCTGCATGGCTGGGGCCAGTCTCCAAGGAGATGCCAGCCACACCTGCATAGTGATAGTACAAGGCTGAGGTTGTCCTGGAGACTGGCTCCAGCTGCACTGGTAGGGTAGGGTAGGGTAGGGGTAGGGCTGCAGAGCCCTGGGATTTGGCAGCTTGGTTCAGGGCCAGGGCAGAGCTGTGATCTACAGCCTGCACAAAAAAAATGAAATTTAATTTTCTCCTCATCAAATTGGAAAGTATACATTAGGCATCAAATAAGGAGTTTGTACTGCACAGCAACAGCAGACAACTTCAAAGCCAATATGCTGGCTTCCTATACAGGTATTTAAATGGTGCTCAGCATTGTATGCTTGAGCCCCTCAATGTCATGAAGCATTAATGGAAAAAATCTTGGCCATGGCATACCCACAAGGAACTGAGGCAAGTCCACCCAAAGAAGATTCAGATTTCTGCTTCTGAAGGGAGAAATGTTAGCCTCTCTTTTCTCTCCTTGAGAAAGAAAGTGTTGCCTGAAGCACGCAAAACCTGGTATAACCTCGAGTACGGAGTAGTTACAGCTTTGGCTTCAAATGCACCAAATTTAAGTCTTCCCTGTTCACGTCAATATGGAAGAGGAACTGGGTTAAAAATATGGAGTTTGGTCTTTGTGTACAAGGTTGTTAAGAGTCAGCACCTTACATGGACTAAGCGGGGAATTCTCTTAACTAATCAGGCATTTGTGTTTAGTGACCACAGTTCCAACAGATCCTGGATCATGACAGGTTTAAGTTTCTTTTCTTTCTGAAGCACGTTTCAAATCAGTTCAATATTAACGAACAGGTAGCTCTCATGCTCCAGATGGTGAAGACTGACAACGTTCAGTTTTCATTTTAACCAAGTAAACATGAAAGCAAGCCTTTGTGATATTTGGCATTGATGTATTAAGTTCCCAGGGTGAAATAACACTTGATCTGAGCCTTCAAGAGGCCAAGCAGCAGCACAAGAAACAAAACCCCTCTCCATTATGGAGGTACTTAGAGCAAGAATTTAGTGTGTCCTTTCTCTTAAAAAAAAACAAAAAAAATCTCTGGGAAATAGTGTTTGGGGTTTTTTTTCAAACCTACACATCTGCAGGTTCCTCTGCTGTTCCAAGGGGCAAAGACTCCCCTTTTAAAAAGAGTCTTATCCAGATTTTGTTTGGCCCAAGAAGAAAATAAAAATCTTGCAATGAAAGCTAATATGTGCTTCATCTCTTGCATCAAGACATCTGGGGCAGATATGGGTGGTAATTCAAGACTGAAACTCTCAAGTAGAGGTAAGACAGAGACCTCAGGGGCACCAATAAACCCATGCCCAATGCCAGCGTCCAACATGAATAAGCCTACAGAACTTCCAGAGTTGTTAACACTGGCTTCTTCTGTATGTTCCTTTCTACACCTGTGAACTACTAAACACCAAATCTATTCTTATAGAAGATACCTTTGAAACAAGGCTATTTTTAATTGTGTGGAGTTAAAAAAAACCCTGAGGTTTGAAATGTACTAAGGGATGGGTGTTTTATACCCAGGCAAAACTGATGAACAACAGTTAAATACTATGTGCAGTACCTGCTTTCTAC